CTACAATTTTTATAATTATAAAATATTTATATTATTATAATTAAAAAATATGTATATATTATGTATTTATTATATACATGTCTATTTTAATTACAATTTAATATTAAGTTTATATTATAACATAGCTTTCAAAGCTATCATATCTAGGCCTTTTTACTACACGCGCTTTGTTTTTTAATTTACATAACAATATTGATTTTAGATGGTTGCCTATGCAGACACTATTGCGGATGCAGCTTTACATGGAGGATTCCTATCTGCCGCGGATTTGCAACAATGTTATGACAGGGCGAATCTGGTAGAAGGTAAAGTCTCCTGACCTTTTTAAATTTACAAATACACACACACGTATGTAACATATATTCAAACATATAGGCAATATACGCGCGTACGCGTGATAGCGTGCCTGAGTGTATGTGTCTGATGTAAGTGTGCGCAGAATTGCTTATTTTAATATATCATTAATATATCCTCCCACAAAAATTTTGACTTTGACATATGTTATCTAGACCACGATTCAATAATTGAAATTTTAACCATCGCTCGATTTTGTGTTTAATAAATAATTATAACGAAATAACAATTTTTATGCAAATCAAAGTTATAATAATTATTCGTAAAGAAAATTTTCTCTAGATAAAAGGAATACTAATTCCTCCTTTTTCTAACATTGCTTCTTTCATTAGTTCTACAACTTCTTAAATGTAAACCTCTTTGTCAATAATGGAAACAGATTTAAGTCTTCCTGTACAGAAGTGACATGATGTGATATAGATGACCGAAATTTTTCAAATAACATATGTGTTTAAATATTTTTTCGCATAAAGACATCGTGTACAATGTTTCTATTCAACTAAATATTAAATAGATAATTATTAGATATATTTATATAATTATAAATTATTAAATAGATAATTATTTTTTTGCAATGTAATAAATAATAACAAATAATTATTTTTTAGCTGATTTAATTACAAATGCAGAAGTAAAAGATGGTTCTTATAAGAATCCAGAAAATGTGGAAAAGGCGACGAAAAATGGCTGCTTTACATTATGTATATTGGAAAAGCGAGGCTTAGTAAGTACAATGCATTAAATTGTTATGCATATAAAAAACAATCCCATTTTTTTCACAAAAATTACATCAAAACTCTATTAATACATTCGTCGCATCGTATATTCTTTGGTTTCTTAATCTATTTTTAATGAAAAATATTGCTAATTTAATATGTAAAAATTATAAATTTACTTTAACCAATTTTATTCTTGTTAATAATTTTGCCTTATCGCAAAAAAAACAGATTTTGAAAATATTTGTCACTAAATGTAAATAGCTGATTACTTAATCATCACGTATCAATTAATGTAAAACTTAGAAAAGTAACAACTATTAAAAGCAAAGATTATATTATTATTAAACGCATTTATAAATATTAACTTCTCTCACATTTAAATATTCAGCTTTTGATTAAGCGTGTACTACCGATGTGATTATCAATTAAAAAAACATTGAATCTTGACCTCGACCATTTTTGGATTAGAACTGGCGTTACTATCCTACTTACACTTTTTCGATATTTTAGATATTATCTAGAATGTGCAAAAATTATAAATATCATAATTTTGTAATTATTTCCAGATCGTCGACTCGGTAATTCAAAAGAACAAGTTGTACGGCAAATCGGCACATGCTCAATTGAATCAGGCTACTCAAGCAAAAATATACGCGACTGTAGATCGTTGCACTGAACAAGGCAAGAATATATATATTTACTATAGATCTATATTATATACAAGGTGTTCGATAATAATCGTATCACTTCTCGTGTGCAATTAGAGCAAGTTATACCAAGAAAAACCGTCTATAAATATCTAATTCTATAGATTTATATATAAATTATGCATTCTCTATTACTATTTGTACAACAATTGTTATCAATCCATCAATTTTTTAATTTTTTATTTAGAAAGTTTGATTGATTCTCAAATGATCAATATTTCAAACTTTATGTGAGATAACTAAACATATATAACTATATAAAACATGTAAAAATAATAATTATGTCATTGTTTCAGTTAAAACAAAATCGGACATGTGCGACAAGTCCCTTGATCTTCTTACATGTCTCTGGAAAGACTTCATCTAATATGACAAGATTACTAATAACAAATAATAGATTCCTAGATATGTTAGAGTACATTGGCAATTATTATAGACATGTTGTTCCCTTTATATTAATAAAAATTTATTTATATTATATTTTGTGTTTTACTTTGAATTCTTAATATCCTAACATTGTAAGTATATAAGGTTCTGATAAAAATAATAAATATAAAAAGTAACAGCAATAAGAGTCAGCGCGGTATCAAAAGCGCAAAAGAATATAATAAAATTATTAAAGTTTTGGTCCCTTTTTTGGACGTTCTTTAGTTTTATATTTTAATAATTTTATTATATCTTTTACGCTTTCCATACCGCGTTGGCTTTTATTGCCTGTTACTCTTTATATTTATTATTTTATTCTTGTATTTTATTTTATTTTATATTTTATTATGTAATTTTAAAACTTCCTAAATTTTTAAAAATTTTTTCACAAAAATTTAAGATATTAATATTTAAACTTACGATATAAATTTTTTAAATTAATTGAAATCAAAATAATAATATAAAATTAAAATATAAACATGATTTGGTATATTAGAATTAAATTTCCATTAAAATGTAGATATACAATTTAGTGTAATAAATAGAACACAAAATTTGTTAATGAATAAATATATATGATTATATAAGTATTATATATCAACAAACACCACCACACATACTTCCGCGAAAACTCTATGAGTATTTCTCATAACTAAATATTAAAGTTAGTATAATAAATACATAAACAAATATAACAAACATATTTGGTATTATTTTAGGATTTTATAATTCTGCTGATAGTCAACATAAGATTACACACATAATAAAAATATTAAAGACATGAAAATATTTCAATCTTTGCACAATATTTATACCATAAATAGAAAATTACATTAAATTATTATCAAAAATTTATATAATATTTCTTTATTATATTTTTATATAAAATATTTGTAATATTTTTACACACACAACACATTGGAACGGGTATTTCTGTTGAAATATATTTTTGTAAACAAAACAAACAATAATATATGCAAGCAAATTTTAGGAAATGCACTATTTTTCACATTTCAAAAATCACTAATCACTATATATTGACCGAGTTCAATTCTTTTCGTGGAAATACAGAAACTATTTTAAACATTAATCAGATTTTAGACGTCAATACACCTCTTTTATTACGCTTATTCACTTAATAGTTTTATAATAAATTAATTTCCCGGAAATATAAATACAACATACCAATATTCGCAGTGTACGATGACTGAGAAAAATCCTGTCTTACAATTCTACGCAAATGTCGCGCATGATAACCTCGGTAATACGTAGAAATCATAATAGTTTTATCATCGTGTATAGCATATAAATACCGTACATCGAGATATCGATGGTAGTTTATTGTTGAACGAGCGAATTGGCATCGCAAAGTGTATCATCCAAAAACGTGTAGAAAAAAATTACGAAACCATGAAGGCAGTAATATTCGTTTTTTATCTATTTATCGCCTTTGTACCTATTTTCAATGTAAGCAAAGTATAAATATAGTTTCGCTTAAATTAATATTATCAATAAAAAAGTTAAAATTACAAAGTATAAAAACTTAATATAAATAAAAAAATATTGTAAAGAGTTTCTTCTCTCTCGAAAGAGAAAAAATCGCTGTCACGGACATTTTTATCAATCTTATATAAATACATTATTCAGAAAATATTAATAAGTAAAGAGTTATTAATTCTTCTGTAAGATATAAAAAATAAATTTTTATTTTTCTTTAAATAAAAATTTAAATTTCTTTTTATATAATCTTTTTGTTAATTGTTATTCTATATTTGTTATAGACAACGGGGCTCAGCGATGATGTCACAGAGAGAATGGCACAATTTTTGTCAATGTCAGAAACGGACGTACAGATCTGCATAAATAAAACATATGTAAAAGTCGGTAAGTTTATTTGGCACAATAAAAATTGTTCTAAAATTATCTTGAATTTCTTTCTGTCTTATGTAGTTACAGTTTGTCAAAATTAATAGCTTACGTATAATATTACATTATACAAAGTGTCCGTAAAGATCGGGATCAAATTAATATAACTAATATTAATATTAATGAGATCGAGTAGGTAAAAAAGGTTCATATAAATCTATGTCCGAAAATGCTTTATTAAAGAGTTATAAGCGTTCAAAAATAAAACGAGCACAATTGTTTTTGTACACGACCCCGTTAATACATTGTATAAATTTGGTCCTGATCATTATGGGCACTCTATATAGAGAATTCCGGAGCAAAATTGGTAAATTTTAGCAGCGTGTGCGAAAGATTATTCTAATAGTAAGCAAAAAAATAACGCCAATTAATCCGTTTGTACTTAAATTGCATTTTCCAGAGGATTTGATGAGATTGGATCAACTAGTAGACGATAATATTGAAACAATAGATATCGATAAATCAGTTTTAAAGGTTGGCTGTTTATTTGCCTGTTTGTTACAAAAAAAAGAAGTGGTAAGATTTAAAAAGTAATATATATTAGTCTAATATAATGTATAAAATATACAATACTAATTTTGTTGTTGTGTGTGTATATGTATATTCATATCAGATAATTTACTTTTTGAACCTCTTGCAAAATAATTTGTGAAAACAAAATTTATAATTTATTTAATTTATGAGTTTATTTGTGTGTGTGTTGTACGGTTCAATCAATTTAAGCATTTTTAATTATTTAATTTACTCATTACTAATTACATGTTTTTTAAGTCAAATAATTTACGTATTTTTATTCAATTTATGCGTGTGTGTGTGTGTTAATAAATAAAATTCCTTAAACTATTTCATGTATAACATAAAAGTGATTAAGAATTAATTTAAATTTATAATAATAATTGCAGTCGTGTTACTGATTAAACATTAATTGCTATAGTTTATATAATATGAGTTTTTAATTTTGTAACTTCAATAATTTGTTATTTTATTGTTAAAGTGCTATTTACTTTATCGTAATAATCACCTTCGTATACGTATTTGTTGTTTCAGTTAAAAGCAAATCTGAAGAGTGCGAAGTAACTCTCAAATTCATTCTGTGCCTAACAGCAGAAACGAAACGCTTAATGAGAGAAATGGAATAAGATAAAATTTTAGTATTATATTAAAGAGTTAATATAATATCTAAAAAGAGAATTTAATGGAAATCAAGAATTTGATATACAAGCAATATATATTCTTTATAATCGATCTCTTTTTTGCAAAAATGCAATCATTGCCTTCGTACAACATTTCATCAATTATTAAGAAATAACTTTTCGCCAAAACAAAATCGATATATTAAAATAAAAAGTAGAATAAAAAGTAGAATAAAATAAATTTTTCTATTACATTATAAAAAATGCCACAACTATTCGTTATTATTATTCGTTATTGTCCAGAAGATTATAGCGAATTTATCCTACAACTGCTAAGTCATGGCAGCAACTCGAAAGCACGACAATTATTGTAATCGAGGGTAAGGAGGCGCTACGTAAAGCATTAGATGGAAATATTTGCAAATACTGCACGATTATTGGTCCCTGCGGGTCAAAGTTTCATGACGCAAATGAAATTACAAAACCAATGTAGGTTGCTTATTTTATCGTACACATGGAGAAATAATCTTAATACAATTTACTTAATACATACAATATATAAAGAATATATATGTATAGAATTACATTATAAAATATAAAATTAGAAAATACTAAACAAAGTATAAACAAAGTATAAGAAAAAAATAAGGAATTAAAATTCCGATAAAAAGATATTTAAATACAAGAGTGCAGAAATATAACAATTTGCAGACATAGAAATATAAATAAGTTTATTACGTTTAATAATATTTTATAAAACTCAGACAAAAAGATGATACATCTAACAAATAAATTACTATATCTATGTAAAATTATTTCTCAAATAAGCAAATCGCGAATTACTGAGGGTTTCGAGAACCGAGAAATCGACTTTAACAACGGTTAACGAGGGCGAGAGGGTTGCTGAGACCGTGGCAACGTTAATATAATTCGCGGTGGACCACCTTCCAGACGATGACCGGAAAGGGGAATGCCGCGCAAATTCCATGTTGAAATTAGCATCGCTCGGATTCCGATCCGTGAACATTCTAAGTTATGGCCGAACGAGAGGACGCGATCCCGCATGCTTCGCCTATGATCTCCCGCAGTCAATGCGCACGCATATTCAAATCTAAAGTGGTGAATAATCACCCGAGGTTATTGCAACGGAATACCCCGTTACGATCGCTTTAACCCGTTTATATGATTCATGAATAAATTGTATCTATAATTCAAATACAATAGAAGCTCCACATACATATTTGTGCATTGTTTATTCACGTATCTTGTACTCTTTAAAAAATAATTGTACAAAGAAGCGTGTTGCTTTAATGTATACGTTATTGGTTAAAATTATCTTTTCTACAAAAGTAATGATGTGAAAAAATGCGCCTATTAAAAATAAAAATTATAAACAATATAAAATTAGATTCTGTTATTATAAAATAACATGTTTTAATATTAAAATTGTTATATATATGCGCTGCCGTATATTAGATATGCAGGCAATGTTCGAGACTCGTTCGCGTAAAAAGGGGATGAATTTCAGTATATATATGCGGAAATATTGTATTTTCCTTTTCAGAGTACATGGATATGAAGAACTTTCATTGTATTTTTTTTTACTGATAATTCTTAGTATTAAATTTTTAATATTTATTTCTTGATTGCGCATACATATAAATAAAACTATGTTTTCTTGCATATCTAGAAAATATTTATGTCAGAATCAATATTCGATAAAAAATGATAAGATTCGATAACATTAAAGTAACTTACGTTACACTATCAAAGTTTCGAATTCTGAATTGCAGACATTTTCGCAGAGCATGCACATTAAAAGGAATGCACGAAGTTGCGAACGAAAACAGCCACGAAAATTGCATCGAAATTTCTACCGTCGCAATTCGAATATATATATGGTGACCCGAATTACTCTAGATGATTATAGCATGTGCAATATGCTGGTAGGACATACACAAGTGTATTTATAGTAAATAGTATATCACTATGTATATGTTTACATGCTGTATGTAATATCATTGCAGTAAAACAATAATTTCGTTTAAGTTCATATTTTAAACATATTGTTCGACATAAAATTGAGATTAAAATAATATTCAATCTATCATGTAATATAAAACTTAACATTACTTATATAATTATTGTTGTGTACATATCATTTTTGATAAACACAGTTAAATATTATATATAATCATTAATTCTCTTTATATACATTTCAGGTTTCATATTATTGTTATGTTTTAATCAATAATTGTTGTCAACGTTTTTATATAAATATTCTTTTCACACTTTTATTTATAGAATATATTTTATAATTTTAAAGAAAACATGTTTTCTTACAAAGAAAAAATCTTGAATAAACGTATTACTAAAATTGCATATATACATATATAAATAGATAGATAGATACATACACATACTTCAATACACAGCGTGGTATCTAATAAAGATACTATAAACTCTCTCAACTTTAGGATCATAGGATTATCTTGGAAACTCTCTCGCGACGACAACATGACGCAAAGTTCTCCCCATAATAATTTGCCGGGCGCGTCCATTACGAGCTATCACAAAATTAAGAAGAGGAGAGCATGGTTAACATCCTCGTCACAACTCGCCATCACGCGAAAATTTCGGCAGAACGCAGCCAACGCGTATTTATGGACCCGTATCGTGGCAAATACTTATCGTTAATGGATTTTATACAAACTTGATGAAGTATTTCTCCGAAAAAAATAACTTAAAAAATTAATTATTAGTTATTATGCTTTTTTAAGCTTAAATAATCTCTAGCGATCTTATGTTATACATTATCAAAGTTATTTCAACTATTAAAACTATTAAAAAATATATAAAAAATATACAATATATAAAAAAGTTATTTATTTAAAAAAATAAAATAAAATATCAATTCTATTAATAGTATTGGCTATATTATAAAATAATGTTGGATATAATTATAAAATATTCATTACTCTCTATATTCAATACAATTTTGTTTAATTGGATAAAGTGCAGAAACATATATATGAAAAAGTTATGGTGAAGCTACTATAGGGAGGTCTATGCCCTGTCTGTGCCTCTTTAGATCGATTTTAGACGCATGGACCACCATAGGCGTACACTTTGTGTTGAAAGAACACATTGTTAGACAAAAAGAGAAACCGCTGTCTGCAATTAAATAATTTTCATAAACAAAACTTTTTCGTTGTCTTTTTATCCTTAACATATAGTTATAAATTCTGGCACTGTATATAACATAAATATTCTAAAATTAAATTCTAATATATAATAAAAGAATAATAAAGCTGTATAAAAGAATAATAAAATTGTTAAAAAGTGACGAATTTAAAGTAAAATAATTTAAAATATTAGATACTATCTCAAAAATATCTTTGAAGCTAAAATAAATCTGAGGCAAGTGAGAGAAATTAAAACTGACGGAATACTTTTCAACCTGTACTCTAAAATATCTCAATATTAGAATATTAGAATATTAGAATATAATAATATATTATTATTATAACGAAAAGCAAAAGTTTATCTTTAATATTTTTATATTATTATCTTATAATATATTTATGGGATGACAAACAAAAGAAAAGAACACTCGAATGCAACGCATGCATATCGCAATTATCGCCGTTCATATACGTTTCCGTTGATAACGCTCTCCTCTATGTGTTGCGCATTTACGAATTATCTTCCTTCTCCATCCCTCATTTCCGGTAACGTATAAGAAAAAAGATTTAAGACTCATTTTTTCTCGACATAAATGCAATAAATTGTGTATCATCGTCGATTAAACAATATTATCTTTTTTTCTCCCCCAAAATAAACTAAACATTGCTACCGCAATACCGTAAACATATATACATAATATTACATTCATTTATCTTTGCATATTAGAAAATAAGATTATTTTTACATCTGTTCTGTTGAACAAAATATTTTTCTTCTACTGTTTATATAATCATATATCACAATAAGAAATATAATCGCAACTTTATATGTTTTATACAAAATAAAAAATATTTTTAAATATATGTATAAAAATTATTATTATACATATATAAATAATTTTACAAAAGATTAGAATTATAATATATATAAGAAAATGTGTTTGTATGTATGTGTATATGTGTTTGAGAGGGATTGAGCGTATAGAATATATTTTTTATATTATATTTTATCTTATATCTTTATATGTTTTCATTTTATTTTTATATTAGTTGAAAAGTTTCAGAATATTATTTTTTGAAATATGAGTTTTGTATCAAACTAATTTTTCAGCAAAGTGTTCTAAGCCGCTGTATGACACCATCCGACCCATTTACTTTTATTACCACGCTTTATCGGTTTACGATACCTTGCTATTACAAACCCCACATTTTTACACGTTTCGTTAACGACATCGTTTTTGCGCGCGAATTGAACGTTTTAATGCTGCGCGAATTAATATAGATGTCTGTGCACAAATTAAGTTTCCGAAATTGCCGAAAAGAAAAAAGAACATTCGAAAATAGTTGTGCTCTCAAAAATTGCATCGCACAATATCGAGTATTTTTTATTGACAGAAAATCCAATATTGTTATATACCCGCTTGTTATATACAAGCTTATCTAATCTAATCTGTTTTAATTGGATTCTTCTTCAGAAAAAATGTAATTATTGCCATGGTTACACCTCACCGATCATTTTGATTTTGTAAAAATAGTGGTGTAATATTTTCGCAGAAAACATCAAAAAATAATTTATGAAATAATAAATATCATAATTAAATATAATTAATATTAAATAAAGATTAAAATTACACCCAAAATGTATATTGAATGTTTTTCTGTTATAATAATTCTATTATAATAATTATCTGTAATATAATTAATATATTTTTCTTCAAATTATTAATAAATAAATTTAATAATAATGTTCATTTACTATTTCTCGCATATATAAAAGAGTAATATTTACATTACTTGATTATTATATAAACATACCTGATTTCATTTTGAAACAATACAATAATGTCTTTATAATGTCAACGCATTGTCTTATCTTGCGTTACGCGACTGATAATAACAAAATATTTACATAGCTAACAATAAGTGTCAACGACTCGGGTAGATCATAGATTACATTTGTCTTACTCAGGTGTGAATGTCTACCGGTATGGATTTTCCTTTCATTGATACAAATTCGGTGAAAACAAAATTATGTATCAGGAATTTATTCATTTTGATGTCCATAATAATATTGTGATATAAATATATAATTAAATAAATTATCAAAGTATCCAAATTAAAAATATTCTAGTGACTAATTTTAATTAAATAAAATTGTATATGTATATGTGAAACAGGGAGGATATAGAGCGGCGGCAATATATGTATATATAAAAGTTAAAAATAATAACAAAATATACTCCATATATTTTATAACAATTATTATTTTTCCAATTAGATCTATAAGTTTCTATCATATTTCTATATTTTTTTATTTCTCTAGCTTGTTATATTTAAATGCCATAAATTCTAGTTAAGAATTTTATTAACAAAAAAGTTTTTGTATTAAACATTTAATTATAATAAAAAAATTTTTTTCTTGATTATTACAGAAGAATTTTTGTCAAAAAATTCAATCTTATTAATAAATCTATGTACTTGGATTAACGTATTGTATACGTTAAAATCATAATTGTCACAGGTTGTATCTCACGTCTATTCTTTTTCTTTTATCACGTGGGATGATGTCGACGTCTTCTAGCGGGACAAACGCCAAATGTGTACGACTCACGCGTAGGTAGGTTCGATGTTTTCACAATACCCACGCGAACAGAAACGGGTTCTTTGCAAATATGGAGTCGCCGAAACATTCACTTTTGCAACCTGAATCTATCGATACCTTTAATTAAAATTTACTCGATCATTGATAATACGCAAATGAAATCTTCCACAATTCAATCTCCCATGAATAACCATAATGCATAATAAATATAATAATCTTCTTGTATATTAAACACGAGTGAAATAAATATGTTCTATCATAATGCCAAGCTGTGATCGATCGCTATCGTCAAGCAGAGTGAATTATCTGTGATGTATATTATTTGTGCATGCTATTGTAAATTATTAAAAAACATCATCATCAATTATGCATTTAATATTATTCGTTATCTAGGCCTTATTAAATACGTGCGTCTGGATTTATTAAGTAACATTATTATTAATTATATGTTATTTTTTATAAATTATTTATATATCATATGTATCTAAGATTAACGTGTTTGCAGTTTCCCCTCCTTAAGTAATCTTAAAGTTGCACATTAGTTTCCTTAAATAAATTCATTGTCTGCTCGCGCAGCGGCTCGCGACAAATTCCGTGATCTCGCGCGTATACGGAACTTAAAATAAACAAGTAACGTCCCTGTCATTCTCGGCTAGGAAATCTCTGGACCTCCCTCCTTGCAAAAAGTACATCTTGCAATATGTTTATAAAATATTTATATATATATATATATATATATATATATGAACAACGTCGGTATATGGATTTAATTGGGTTATTATAAAAACATATATTAATACATAAAAATGCGTTCGAGGAAGCTATATGCTGCCGCGACAAGTGATACATTTCTCAGAAACTTTACGTATCACGAAAGATGAATGTTACAAAAGAAGGATATCGGTCTTTTTATGGAAGCCAAAACGTTTCGATTGTTCATCATTCTAAAAAGTAATTCAGCTCAGACTAATTAATTTCAAATAAGGTATAATCATGTGCACTTTATTATATATAACATTTTTAATATTAAAAATGGTAATAAAATTTTATATGTAATTTTTTGCTCCCCATTGTAGCACAATTTTCTAAAATATTATCTCTCTCGTAGAAGAAAAGCAGATTTAAATAAATATAAATAATAAAATACATTAAAGCTAATAAAATATCCATTAAACTATTAAAGGATATTAAAGCGCAATACTTTTCTGTAAAGTGATTTTTTTTTAGACACCTAAACTTTTTAAAAAATATTAGTAAAAATTTTTATATTTAATATTAATAAAATATGTACAAAAAATATTATAAAAAAACAAGTCGAAATAAAGTTGAAAAAGCTTAAACGCCAAGTTTTTCATAAAAAAGTTACATGATATATTATGTACTGCTACGTCATAATAATAAACATTAGAGCTTTTCTATTATTTTTAAATTATTTGTACTAATTCAATGGTCATATTTTCAGACATTAGTATAGTAAATATTAAATTATATCATTAAAATGCACCTAATAATTACAAAATATTCTTTTTTTATTTAATTAATTATATAATCAACAATTAGAATATTAAAAATGTAAAACATATAGAAAACGAAACTTGTTTTTTTCAGAAATTTGCGATAAATTAAATAATAATTATTAATATATATAATAATTATTATAATAATAATTATATGTAACTAGATTAGATTATAGCGAATTTCTTCCCATTCACTCTAATTTTAAATCTCAAACTTTTCTGCGTAATGTAAGAGAGATTTCAATCGCGTAATATATATATATTACAAATCTTTAAAGACTAGACTCTTTCATCGGTTTCAATTTCTCAGATCACGATTCATTATTTTAAATCCGCCGTTTGATTTGGCGCGCTCTTTAAAAAAATTATAATGCACTCACCTGCGCGGTGTGCAATCACGGCACTTTCTCCCGCGAAGAGACCCGGAAGAAAAATCTTCACAACGAAGTGCCCACGTGTCTAAGCTGCTATTTCACCTTCGAGACTTCGAGATATGTCCAAAGCACACGGAACACAACACACGCACACTGCACTATCAGCAGACGCGGCTACTTATCAGCACCGAAATGTACACCAAAAAAAGAAAAGGAAACCATGATAATAATACCATAACACCTGTTGCGCGATCACCATAGACTGAGGAGGCCCACTAAAATTCGTCATAGCAAACGTCTCGCAAGAATCGCGTTTGGCGTGCCATCTCGCGTCATTTGCACGACACTACGTGTACTACAATAGCGGTGAGAAACTATGGAAAATTAATTACCTATTGCGAAAATAATAAAAAAAATACTAGGGTTGGACATTATGTACCCATAAACCATAAACTATAATAACCTATGTCTACGCGTAAATAATATAAATTATGTTTAACATGTTATCTCTATGTCAACAACTAGTAATTTATGAAATATGGCTTATCGAACATGTTCAGTTTTTGAACACAATTTTCAAATTTTACGATGCCATAAAAAATCAACATAAAATTCAACAAATTAGATTTTATGCTAAATTTTATAATAAAAAACATAAACGAAAAAAAAACTAATGAAATATCTTCGATAAACCGTAGATTATCGGTCTATTAGTGTTATAATAATATGGAAGTTTATGCATAATATATATATATATACACCCGTAATATTTTTTTTTTAATAATATCAGAAAAATCGCGCACAAAATAATCTTTGTAATTAAAACTAATTATATATTTCACCAACTGCGCTCTCTCGCAATATTATCTTTATTTCTAACATATATAATATATGACATGATATAGATTGTTCATCATTGAAAGAATGTTACTTGACAGAAAATTTTTGGCGCCAGACTTTTTCGGAATTCAAATCTCTGGGATTTTCGCTAACTTCAAAGCGCGTTACTCGCGTATATAACCTGGTATAACCAACCGTGTGTGTATAGTCGGTTCTTATTCTTGTTCTTCCGGCGATTAAATTTTGCAAAAATTTACCACAAATGTTTGCCACGCACGCATTAAAATCTCGCATTCTATTCGTATCCACGCAATCTTTTCTACTTTTCAGGTATGCGTATATGTGTGTGTACACATTTCAGACACGACTTGTCACCTTGCGTACACCTGAATGCTCGACACGATCTATGAACGCTTACCATACCTGACAACTGTATTCGCAATGTCATTACTCGGAGTACACATCGATCGATAAACTGTGTGATTGATTTTTTTTCTCGTTACGATTTCTTCAGCGGACACTTTCACGATAATATCAGAGATTATCACGATATTTCGTTTTAAACTCTGTAAATCGCATTCGCTGAAATCTAACCTCAAGAGCATTCTTCTCAGTCACGTTTTTTACTTTTTCTTTTTGTTACCGAGGATTTTTCTTGTGTAAGCCAATTTTTTTTACTATTTATTTTTCCAAGCTAACTTGCGTGCGAGAAAATATATTGTTCAAGTAATATTGTAAATTGTAAAGCAACCACGTTTGTAAAAGTCAGTGAAATTTTGCTGGTGATAGTGAAAAAAAAAAAAAAAAACAGTATAAATTCGGTTGGGTATTATATTCTGCGCGAAATTTCGTCCTTGATATTTCACGATGACGTCGTTTTATCAAAATGACAAGATCTCGCTCACGGAGAGTTGTAACTGCAAGTAAGAATTAGTTAATTACTGATCCATTGCAATTATACACTATCCAGAGCGATAACATAAACTGTACACTGGGGTTATATATAGTATCTTTAATATCTTTTTTTTCACATCATTTGCAAAATTTGCCAAGAATTTAACTTTTCATTTTTGACTTCCTTATATAAAATGTAATAAAATCATACGTTTTGTCCTGTTACAAGAGAAAGAAAAAGATCATTTGCACAAAACTGACCTCAATATACAGTTTTAAATATTCAGTGTCAACATGTATGTCTGGGTTTAATTAAAACTATCAACTATTAAATATAAATTAATATTTAATAATGACACAATTTTTGTAAATGTCAGTTTTCATAAATTCTAGTTTTAAAATCTTTGTATTTCTTTCATGATGTGTTTCCAGAAATAAAATTCTGGAATCCAAAACTGTAGTGATCAGTATGTCAACCCACAAACGTGTAGAAAAGCGATACGACAATATAATAAAATCACAAAATGATGATAGATTGTACAGAGGCTTAGAACTTGCTAATAAAATGAAAGTGCTTTTAATAAGCGATTCAACAACTGATAAGAGTGCTGTTGCACTAGATGTTAATATAGGTAATTTTAATCATATTTACAATTAAAGAAATTTTTTATAACTTATTCTGTATGTATATATATTTAGAAATATTATGTAGATTGATAAAAATATATTGTTATTTAAATATCTCAGACCGATGTAAAAATTTATCCTTGATAATAAAATCTATTTGTTCACTTTATGTTACAGGCTACATGTGCGATCCAGATGATCTGCCTGGATTAGCACACTTTTGCGAACATATGTTATTTTTGGGAACAGAGAAATATCCTCAGCAGAATGATTACAACATGTATTTGTCGCAGAATGGTGGCGCGAGTAATGCGGCGACACATTTAGATCACACCACCTATTACTTTGATGTAACTCCGAAAAAATTAAGAGGGGCGTTAAACCGTTTCGCCCAATTTTTCTTAACGCCTCTTTTCACGGAGACTTTGACTGAATTGGAGCTGAACGCCATAAATTCGGAACACGAGAAAAATTTGGCAAATGACAATTGGCGATTTGATCAATTGGACAAATCATCTGCAAGTTCTGATCACCCGTTTTCAAAATTCGGCACAGGCAATAAAGAGACATTAGACATAATACCGAAGCAAAAAGGCATCAATATTAGAGATAGACTACTCGAGTTTCATGAAAAGTATTATTCTGCAAATATTATGTCACTGTGCATACTTGGCAAAGGTAAGGCGATAATTTACATACATATAAGAGTTTATCCATTATTAAAATATTTTGATATTTCACATTGTTTTATACATTTGAAAATTTGAGTTTTGGTATGGTAAATGTGAAATGTGAATAATGAAATATATTCGTCATAAATCTATTGATAATTTTCTTTCGCATTTAATTTTCAGTTATTTCATTAATTATTTATGTATTGTCACATTCTTCTCTTCCCACTTAAAAATTTTTCTTTTAAGGAGATTATATGTAAATTTTGATATCTTTAACTAAATAAAAATGAAATTGGCTTCTTTTTTTTTTTAAATCCAATTACTTCAAGATAAGCAGATTAATACAAGCCAATAAGTGCAAATATTTGTGATAAATATATCTAATAATATAGAATTTTTGTGTCGATTTCTCTTATTAAAACTGGATTTTTTTCTGGGCAGATCTATTAATTTTCGTTATTTGTAACGTTTCTAATATGTTAACAAATTTTATGTTTAGAGAGCTTAGATGAACTTGAAAACATGGTAGTAGATCTCTTTTCTGAGGTGCGAAATAAAGAAGTTGAAGTTCCAGTATGGCCTGAACATCCATTTAAGGATGAACACTTTCGCACTAAGTGGTACATTGTTCCAATAAAAGATATGAGGAACGTTATATGTCTCTTATAACTTGCAGCCTTAATTTTCATGGTAAATTCCCAAATGAATTTAAAGTTTATTTTTTAAATAAAAATGTTGAAGTTTCAACAGTTTTTCTGAGCTATAAGCGATTAAAGAAGAAGAATTATGTTGTTTAATTTCTTTTAAGTAGACTTTTTATATTCAACGAAATTTTAATTTGAAGATTAGTTAAAAATATATATAACATGTGTGTGGTGATAAATAGATAGTAATGATAAATTATCTATTTCAAAATTTCCATTAAAAGGAAATCGACTTCATAAATTCTGTTTCACAGAATCTATCATAATTATGGTTGCGAGTTATGGAATACTTACAAAATTCTTAATAATTATTGATGTTAGACATGTATATAATTTTATATACGCAATACGCAATGTATTTTTGATATTTATATCTTATTATTAATTCTTGTCGATATAGCCTGCACATTATATTTCTCATCTGCTTGGACACGAAGGAGAAGGCTCATTATTATCAGCTTTGAAGGCCAAAGGTTGGTGTAACTCCTTGGTATCTGGAAAACGATCAGGCGCCAGAGGCTTCAATTTTTTCAGTGTTGTTGTCGATCTAACCGAGGAAGGAATTAAGCATGTTAACAATATTGTTACACTGATGTTTCAGTATATCAGTATGCTTAAGAAAAAGGGCCCAATTGAATGGATCTACAATGTAATTGATGAAATGAAATACACATATAATCTAAGTTGCAAGTGCCTGCCAAAACGTAATACAATCTGCAAAGAATTATTCATAAAAGGAACGATATAGAATAAATTTTTTCAATTGGTTACATAATTTCTCAAAAAAATGTTTTATTAATTAAAACACAGTTTTTTATACACGTTTATAAATGATGCATATACCAACCATATAAAAAAAAAATATTAACACTTTATACAAAAAATCAATTCATATGGAAAAATTATAGTTCCATCTAAAAAGAAAACTTTAAAATCTTGATAACTATTGTTCCGAAAAACATGCTTATCACGATTATGATATTTATTCCTTTTTTTTAACAAATTTTTTCAGATATGTTTTTCATAAAATCAACATTTTAGAATATTTACAATTATATATGTTTTTTGTTTTTCTTACGAAAAATCATACATATTCTCGCTTGCCGATTGTACCGTAATATTTCACCAGACATCCTGTATTTTAATTCCACATATTATATTTTAATATTAAATACCAGAGTAACATGATTTTATATTTGCAGGAATATAGAGATATCGCGAATATGAATTTTCGTTTTAAAGAAAAGTCTTCGCCTCGTAATTATGTGAATTCTATAGTACAAGCCCTGCAGGAATATCCTATGGATGAAGTTTTGTGCGCGGAACGTACTTTTCCCGAATGGCGACCAGACATTATCAATCAAATAACAGAGTACTTGACGCCGCAAAATATCAGAGTTCACGTGGTCGGAAAAGTGTACGAAAATATAGCTAATGAGACCGAAAGCTGGTATGGCACTAAATACAAAAAAGAGAAGATACCAACGGACATAATTAGCATGTGGGAGAACGTTAACGATAATGCGGATTTACAATTACCCCCCAAGAACGAATTTATAGCGACTAAGTTTGATATCAAGCCGCATGAAGCTAATGTAATTAAAATTGTCACTTTTGTAATATTAATTCTTAAGCATTCTGGTGATATTTAATGTAAAATTTTCATGAAACTTTTCATAAACTCTATTTTCGTAAAATTTGTTATAAAATTCAATATTAATGTAAGAGAATTAATTAAAGCAGTCTCTCTTTTATATATATACGTGGACTTTGACATTCAATATAATAATTGAAATACTGGATATACATTCCATATTAACATTATGAGGATATGAGCTAGTGCTTATGAATTAATTTGATCAGATCTTATATTTGTATGTCATTACATGCATTTAGCTGCTAAATTTTCTAGGTAGAAAAATTTCCTACAATTATAGAGGATACGCCGTTTATAAGACTTTGGTATAAAAAAGATGATGAATTTCTTGTACCAAGAGCTAGGATGATCTTCGATTTTGTCAGGTATGTGATAAGCTATCAAATGTATAATTGTACATAATGTGATGACCTCTTTTTTTTAATTTTGTAGTCCACTCGCATATTTGGATCCTATTAGTTGCAATTTAAGTAATATGTTCGTCCAATTATTTCGTGACTCTCTCAATGAATATGCATATGCTGCGGATTTAGCTGGTTTACAATGGGAACTTAGTAATAGCAAATACGGAATAACAGTGAGTAAATTTATAATAACAATAGTAGTATTATTGTAAAATATTGTATAATCTTTATTCTGTGTCTGCACATATAATAATATCTATCAAATCTCATCTATAAATCATTGGATATTATTCATACTCAAAGTAAAAAATCAAATATATTTTAGCTTGCTATAGGTGGTTACGATGATAAGCAACGCGTATTGTTAGAAAAAATCATGGACAGAATGATAAACTTTAAGATTGATTCAAAAAGATTCGAAATTCTAAAGGAGAATGTATGTATAATAAGATTTGTATTGTATTGTCTTTAAAATTAAGCTGCAGTGTATTTATGTAGAATGGTTTATAGTATATCAGGAACTTGAAAAATTTCGTGGCTGAACAACCATATCAACATGCAGTCTATTATCTCGCAGTTTTATTAGCAGAGCAAGTCTGGGTCAAGGATGAATTATTGGAAGCAACTGCTTGTAAGTTTGTGTAAAAGATGTATATATATATATATATATATAATGTATGTGTATGAGAAATATATGTTTCAAACTTTTTACACTATTAAAATCTTTATGTTGATGTTACACAGATCTAACTGTTGATAGACTCCAACAGTTTATACCCCAACTTCTCAGTAAAGTGCACGTAGAATGTTTGATACATGGTAATGTGACTATAACAGAGGCTACAGATACAGTTAGATTAATCGAATCCAAATTGACAAATTCAGTGCCTCACATAACGCCATTATTGCATAGACAACTAACATTGTATCGTGAAATTAGACTAGAAGATGGTAAGCATATAATATAATTTAAATCTCATTTATGACAATTTGAAAATTAATATCCTTAAAGACAGAGAAAAAGGAGAAGAGAAAATATTAATTTATTAAAAGTATATATATATTAATATAAACAATTTTACTGGTTTTTTTTTCTAATGATTCTTGATTAATAAAAATCATTATATGATAAAAAATGTGGGAAAATATAAAAATAAAAAAAAAACTAATTTATATTTTAATCCATGTGAAAAATAGAAAGAAAAATTAAATTTTATTTCTGCAAGATCATTTTATAATAATACAATTTTTGTCCCAGAAATAAAGAATGTTGTTAATAACTGCTAATAATATTGTTTATACGATACCATTCACTTTTAATATTATGTAATGATATATGTTTATTATAGGTTGCCATTTTGTATTTGAAGCAGAAAATAAATTGCATAAAAGCTCATGTACAGAGGTATATTATCAAACTGGTTTGCAATCAACAGAGTCAAACATGCTCTTAGAGCTTCTAGCACAAATTATTTCGGAACCTTGTTTCAATATTTTAAGAACTAAGGAACAATTGGGCTACATTGTATTTAGCGGTGTGCGTAGAACGAATGGAGCGCAAGGCTTGCGAGTCATAGTTCAAAGTGACAAACATCCGCAATATGTTGAAAAACGAATCGATTTATTTATGGATTCTATGTTGGTGAGTATAATAATACTTGCATGAAGTTAGATAATAATAATATATATTATGTTAAAGAATTTCTCTCTTATGAACCTTGTAGAAGAAATTTGGTCTTTGTTGAAATATTATTTACATTATTATTATTACATTATTATAATTATATTATAGGAACACATATCTACAATGTCAGAAGAGCAATTTGAGAAATATAAAAAAGCCTTGGCTACGTTACGTCTTGAGAAACCAAAAATGTTGAGTTCTCTATGCGTTATATTCTGGAATGAGATTTCAAACCAACAATACAACTTTGATCGAGCAAATATCGAAGTAGCTTATTTGAAGACTATAACACGGCAGCAAATACTTAATTTTTATAAGGTTCCACATCTTGTATTATACTTTATCTCATTTTATATGCAGAATATATGGAGAGAAAAAATCTGAAGAATTAAAAAATTGATAATATATTTCATAATTTTTTAGGAAATTATATATAGTGAAGCACGACATAAATTGTCAGTACACGTGATATCTATGGTAACAGATGGCATATCAATCGAAGAAAGTATATCTGATTCAAATAACAAAATTGAAAAAGTTATCGACATACCAGCCAATCAAGAAGTTAAGAAAATTGATGATATTTTATCCTTTAAAATTAGTCAATCTCTATATCCTCTATCAAAACCATTCAAGGAATTTCCCAGGAAAGGTGTACGTTCTTCTAAATTATAAATAAATGATATATAAGATAATTTTAATATAAATTAAATAGATGAATTTGTTTAATGCATAATACTTTTAATTGATTGAATATTATATTGATTTAATTGATTGAATTTTATATTGATTAAGAAACAAATCAATGCAAATTTTAATCAAATTAATAAATCAGTTATTAGTGCATAGTAATATTTATATCTTTAGCTTGCTGAATTTATGTATAATTATATTTATATATAAAACAACGCATAAATACTTATATATGTAAATACAATTTCAAATACAATTTTAAATACAATTATTAAAAATTTATCTTATCAATGTTAATTATGTCATTGAGATTTTGTAGATTAAATACACGTAATAAAAACATGTTCAAAAATTGCACTACAAAACTAAAAAACTTGATTTACCTCTTATTTGATGATTGCAGATTGCTATTTTGAATATCTAAAGTAAAAAAAAAAAATAAATGTTAAAAATTTTCTTCTTCAATACTGTGTGATTTTTTATTTATTTTATATAACTAAAATATCAAAATTTAATAAAATTAATAAATCAACTATTGGTGCATAATAATATTTATATTTTCTAGCTCGTTGAATTTATATATATATATAATTATACTTATATATAAATCATAACATAAATACATATATATATGTAAATTTATTATTGGCAATTACTCATTGTTCAATTTTAATAATGTTATTGAGATTTGTAGATTAAATTCATGTAATGAAAACATGATCGAAAATTTTCCTACGCCACAAAATTTAATATACCAACCATAATTGTTTTTAATGATATGATATATAAGATAATTTTAATATAAATTAAATAGATGAATTTGTTTAATGCATAATACTTTTAATTGATTGAATATTATATTGATTTAATTGATTGAATTTTATATTGATTAAGAAACAAATCAATGCAAATTTTAATCAAATTAATAAATCAGTTATTAGTGCATAGTAATATTTATATCTTTAGCTTGCTGAATTTATGTATAATTATATTTATATATAAAACAACGCATAAATACTTATATATGTAAATACAATTTCAAATACAATTTTAAATACAATTATTAAAAATTTATCTTATCAATGTTAATTATGTCATTGAGATTTTGTAGATTAAATACACGTAATAAAAACATGTTCAAAAATTGCACTACAAAACTAAAAAACTTGATTTACCTCTTATTTGATGATTGCAGATTGCTATTTTGAATATCTAAAGTAAAAAAAAAAAATAAATGTTAAAAATTTTCTTCTTCAATACTGTGTGATTTTTTATTTATTTTATATAACTAAAATATCAAAATTTAATAAAATTAATAAATCAACTATTGGTGCATAATAATATTTATATTTTCTAGCTCGTTGAATTTATATATATATATAATT